GATGCGTGCAATCTATGATTAGACCACGCGATTTGAGAACTCTGATCCATGCGATCTATGATCTGACCACACGATCCAAGAACTCGGACCACGCCATCTAAGAACTCTGATACGTGCGATATGTGATTTGGCCACGTGATTCGAGAACTCTAATGCGTGCGATCTGCGATCTGACCACACCATCTGAGAACTCTGATGCGTGCAATCTGCAATCTGGCCATGCAATCCGAGAACTCTTATGTTTGTGATCTGTGATCTGACCACGCCATCGGGGAGCTTGGACGTAGGTTTGAGACCTGCATAGGCCACCAAATTGTTGATGCTTGATTTTAACACCAACGACTCGCACGTGCAAAGTGCTAAGAGAGTCTTAGAAATTACACGTGATCGATCCATAAGATTTGAATATGGTACTGAGATTATATATGTTGCAGAAACATAAATAATAGACTGACAAGAGAGGTTTTTATAGTGGTTCGGATACTTAAAGTAAATCCTACATCTATTATTATTTTATTATTCTCTGACTATTTTTATGATATTGCATGTAAGGCATACAAAGATGAAGAAATACTTGGCTCTACAGAGAGAAACAATAAAGCTCAAATCTATGTCTAGCTCTCATATGCCTAACCTCTCATTTTCGTGAGGAGAGTTGCTCATTTATACACCTTTTAGGTCAATATAATGACTGCTTCTGCAAGTTGTCATGACACGTGGAGATCACTCCTTAATCCTTATCTTTTTATTTTGATAAAGTTAGGACAAGTGTGCAGTCCTCATCTACTCATAGACAAAACTTGAATCTATTAGGTTGGTGACAGCCACATCTCTTCTATCTTAGGGCGATGTGGCAGCTCTTGGACGGCACAAAGTCTTCCTGAACTTTGATTGGTTGGTGCTAACATTAGTGCGATTTTTTAGGCACAACAAAAAGTATACAAAAGACATCGACGACATTAAAAAGGTATAATGAGAGGAAGAGCAATAAAGGGACATAGATTTAGAAGGCAAGCATATTTGAGAAAACTTATGGTGACAGGAAAAGTAATAAAAGAATACAGATTTAGAAGACAAACATATTAGAGAAAACTTATGGTGAGAAAAATAACGGTAAAGGAATACAGATTCAGAAGGCAAGCATATTTGAGAGAGCTTATGGTAAACTAGCCACCAAAGGTGAAGTGAAGGTAATCATGGTTGGTCTTGTTGCATCTGGAAAATTTACCGTGTTGGCTAAACTTGGGATGGCAGAGATTTTAAGATTGTGCTCACTCCAAGTATGATTTTTTTTTTTCGTCCCTTTTCTATTATCACAAATGTTCATTATTGAGTTTAAGTTTTCCTTCACAAGTAATAAATGGTTTTCTTTACAATTATTGCATATTTTCATGTTGAGAGTGCAAAATGGAAGGACGTTAGGATGTTTGTGTGGGATATCGAGACAGAATGTGAAGAGAAGGTAATGCTTCTTTTTCTTTTCTCTAATTCAGATTAATCTTAGTTTACTAATTAATGACTTATTCCCTAATAGGGTGATGATTTCATAACCAAAAATTGTATTTATGATGGATGGAAGCAATCTATCCAGTATTGGTGAGCCAAAGGTGCAATTGCACAAGCTTCTGACATAGGTATTAAAACGTCCAGTTTTTATACTCTTTTTCATAATCATAAATGAGTAATGCTAGATTTACACCACTCTTTTACACTATATTCATTACATCATGATGTGGCATATGCCACAACCACACAAATTTTTAATTATTTTGAATTTTTAATATTATAATAGAATTTGTGTGATTGTGGCATTACTCATCATAAATTGACTATTTTATCAAATAAAATCTACTCTATAAATAGGTTGAGGGTCAACAACCTTTGCTTGTGCTGGCTAACAAGAATGACTCTATGAGACTTGTTATATATATATCCAGTATTGGTGAGCCAAAGTTGCTAGTGTCTATTCATATATAAATCCCCACCATTACGTATTGATGTAGTTTTAGTTTTTGGCTTTTGTATCCTCCTTTGTATTGGGCTTTTGGTATGGGGATTGACTCTATGAGACTTGTTATTTTGCGTTGACTTCTTGATTTATTTGAGAAGCCTTTGACATGACCATTGACATTATTAGCTTTCGACCATTTCATCTATAATGATCATCTATGTTGGGAATTTCATAACTAGACAGTATTTGGAGGTTGCTGCTCCAATGGCATATAAGGTTGGCGTTCCTAGGATCACGACAAAAACACTTGGACAATCGACTACTAGAAAATCCACTATCATAGTCGAGCTTTCTTTGCCCCTTCTCCTGCCATCACGGTAATTAGATAGTCCCTTTAGAAAGGATACTTTGTTAGGATTACTTTAGAATTAGGATAATTATGTTAAATCTTTTATAATTATATTAAGTCTTTTATAATTATCATTTATAATTATGTTATTATCTTATTATGATAGAATATCTTATTAGATTTGAATTAGACAATTAGAGTCTTTTTGGGAGTCATTAGAGTCAAGTGTAAGGCTATATAATAGTCTAATTCTAAATTATGGTTATCAATGAAGAATTTTGTCAATTAATTTCTCTCTCTTGTTCTTGGAGGTCTATGTTCCTCATATAAATAGATCATATCCCAAACCCTATCATTGGTGCCCTCGTTCCCTTTCCATGGCTGACCCTTCTCGCCTAAAGGCTCTGGAAGGACTTGTCTCTCAACATGGGGCCAAACTAGACGCTCAAGAGGCCAAACTTGACTCCTTAGAAGGTCTTTTGAAGGCTATTACACTAAAACTGTCTGACATTGACGCCAAGCTAAAACAAGGACGACGACTAAAGGAGCCCTTGGTGGACAATGATGCAAATGGCGATGGCACTCCCCCGCCTGGCTCGAGTTCGCGTTCTTTTGGGTCTGCGCCACCTTTTAATCTTTCTGGTTGGAGGTGCCTCGCTTTGATGCCACGAATCCACATGGCTAGAGGCTTAAAGCTGAGCAATTCTTTAATTACCATAATACCCCTATCGAGCAACGGTTGACAATCTCTTCCTTCCACATGGATGGGCCAACTCTTTCTTGGTATCGCTAGATGATTCCAATGGGCAGATCCGTTCCTAGCATTCCTTCTTGCAGGATTTAGATGTTCGTTTTGGGCCTTCATAGTTTGTGGATTACCAAGGGCAATTGGCGAAACTTACTCAAGTAGGTTCTGTAGTCGCTTATCAAACATAATTTGAAGAACTCTCTAATCAAGTATCGAGCCTTTCAAGTACGTTCCTTCTAAACTGCTTTGTATTAGGGCTCAAACCAAAAATCCGAAGGGAGGTGCAGTCCTTCCGACCTCACACCCTCAACCACACCATGAGTCTTGCCCGCTTACAGGAGAACAAGTTGCAGGATTTACACCTATACTTGAAATCTACTAGCCCCCTATCTTGCGATCCTAGTAAATCAACTCCTAATGTTCCTTCAGCGCAACAGGCTCTTTTGCCGACTCCAAGCCAATCGGGTTCCTTGCCTATTAAGCGACTCACGGCGGCACAAATGCAAGAAAGGCGTAACAAAGGTTTGTTCTATAATTGCGATGAGCGCTTTCAACCTGGGCATTGCTGTAGGGCTAAATTCTTTCTCTTGCTGATGGAGGAGGATGAGGATGAGCACAAGGATGAACCGGGATAACTGCTGTTGATGGTGTCGTACCTTGCAACCTTGAGGACAAGGTTGAGCTCAAGGGGAAGGCAATTTTAGGATTATTTTAGAATTAGGATAATTATGTTAAACCTTTTATAATTATATTAAGTCATTTATAATTATGTTATTATCTTATTAGGATAGAATTGAGATTATCTTATTAATTGGATAGAATATCTTATTAGATTTGAATTAGACAATTAGAGTCCTTTTGGGAGTCATTAGAGTCAAGTGTAAGGCTATATAATAGCCTAATTCTAGATTGTGGTTATCAATGAAGAATTTTGTCAATTAATTTCTCTGTCTCTTGTTCTTGGAGGTCTCTGTTTCTCATATAAACAGATCATATCCCAAACCCTATCATACTTTTTCTAGCAAAACTACGTAGAGGAGCCCTCATCGACTTCAACTTGGCTCTTCTCAACTTCATTCCTTCTCATGCTTTGAGGAAAAGTATGTATGTTGCTCCTCTTTTAGAGTTTTCTAAGTTATATCAAATTTTTCTAAGCTTTGAGGAACTAAAAATGACTCCTTTTAACCTTTATGAGTTATGGTGTGACAATTGATCAACCACCCAATGACCCTAATCCAGTAAACTGCTTGTCTCCTTTAGGATGATAACTCTCCAAACATCTAAACAAACTAACAAGGTTCTGAAAACCAGATCGAACTAGCCAGTTGAACCGGGAACTAGCAGCCTCTCCGATCCGGCTAAGGCTTTAGAGGGGGGCATTTGCCATATATTAAATATATAGGGGTTAATTTGTAATTTTTAGGGGTGTTTTTGCAATATTTCAAAACTTTAGGGACTAATATTCTTTGGGCATTTTTTGAATTTTAGGGACTAATTTGTAATTTTTTAGAGGTATTTTTAATATACTAGAATTTAAAGGTCTAATTTGCAAAAATTTTTAAAAAAATTAAAAAGCTGACATCGTCAATCCAACCGACCGGTCTAATCAATCGGACCGGTCAAACCGTGAACCGGGCCCTTGACCGGGTCAAGACCTGGTTTGATTTTCAGAACATTGCTAACTAACCTTTTAATTAGACCATTTTACAAGTTATGTATAGAAACTTCATCCACAACTTCAAGAGCGTAAATTGAAAAAAAAAAAAAATGCTTAAGATCGCGCTACTAAAGAATATACTAAATTCAGAAAATATTAGCCTGCAGCTGAATCAAGAATGATTGTCCAGTAGGGCCATGAACTTGCACACTACTTAAGCTTAACAATTAGAAGAATTAGCACAAGATATCATACATCGGAACTTTGAGTGAAGAAGAGTTGCTCAAAACAAATATAACTTCAAAGTTCAAGCACAAAGCTTGTAATTTAGTTCTGATTGAAATCTTCATTCAACAGTTGAACAACGTGTGTAAAGAATGTTCTCCAGACAGAGACAAGAGGCCATTTATACTCTACTTTGTCTGTATTTCATCCTTTGTCAACTGCTACATAATTTCACAATGAATTCATAAGCCTCCAATATTTAAAGGGCACGTGAATTAGAAGAATAGGAAACATGTAAAACCTCTCATACAAAACTTTTCCACCACAGTTTAGAGAGAACTGGAAGAACAGATGCTGGAAGAAGAAAAATCTAATCACTACTAAACTGAGTTAAATTTTATTGAATGGTTCACATCTCTGCAGTTTGAAAAGCAACTATAAATTACATAAACAAGGCACAACAAAAACAGTTTCGAATAACATTCTTGAGGTGTTTTAGATATATATGTACATACAAATGTATTACCTTGAACTCATTTCGAACTATTACTCCGTTTGTTTATATGTTGGTGCGCTTGCTTTTACTCTCTGTCAGTTATTTCTTCATTCGTCCCAATCTCATTACTTTCAGTAATTTCTTCATCCGTATCAATCCCTACCCAACGGATCAAAGAAAAGAGAAATTCTCTGAAGCTGACCTTCCCATTTTTGTCCCAGTCCATTTCCTCTGCATTTTTTTTTTTTACACAAATTACTAAAGAAGAAGAGTAACAGAAACCTCACAATTGCAACTACAAAACTAGCAAAGCAAGTATAGAAGTGAAGGTGTTACTGAATCGATTCTTGGTGACATGTGCTGGCGATTTCTCCCGGGGATAAGACTCATTCAAAGACTTTAGCATGTCTTTCTTATTCAGCTTTCCGTCGCCATTCTTGTCGAGAAACAAGAATGCGNGAAAAAAAAAAAAAAATGCTTAAGATCGCGCTACTAAAGAATATACTAAATTCAGAAAATATTAGCCTGCAGCTGAATCAAGAATGATTGTCCAGTAGGGCCATGAACTTGCACACTACTTAAGCTTAACAATTAGAAGAATTAGCACAAGATATCATACATCAGAACTTTGAGAGAAGAAGAGTTGCTCAAAACAAATATAACTTCAAAGTTCAAGCACAAAGCTTGTAATTTAGTTCTGATTGAAATCTTCATTCAACAGTTGAACAACGTGTGTAAAGAATGTTCTCCAGACAGAGACAAGAGGCCATTTATACTCTACTTTGTCTGTATTTCATCCTTTGTCAACTGCTACATAATTTCACAATGAATTCATAAGCCTCCAATATTTAAAGGGCACGTGAATTAGAAGAATAGGAAACATGTAAAACCTCTCATACAAAACTTTTCCACCACAGTTTAGAGAGAACTGGAAGAACAGATGCTGGAAGAAGAAAAATCTAATCACTACTAAACTGAGTTAAATTTTATTGAATGGTTCACATCTCTGCAGTTTGAAAAGCAACTATAAATTACATAAACAAGGCACAACAAAAACAGTTTCGAATAACATTCTTGAGGTGTTTTAGATATATATGTACATACAAATGTATTACCTTGAACTCATTTCGAACTATTACTCCGTTTGTTTATATGTTGGTGCGCTTGCTTTTACTCTCTGTCAGTTATTTCTTCATTCGTCCCAATCTCATTACTTTCAGTAATTTCTTCATCCGTATCAATCCCTACCCAACGGATCAAAGAAAAGAGAAATTCTCTGAAGCTGACCTTCCCATTTTTGTCCCAGTCCATTTCCTCTGCATTTTTTTTTTTTACACAAATTACTAAAGAAGAAGAGTAACAGAAACCTCACAATTGCAACTACAAAACTAGCAAAGCAAGTATAGAAGTGAAGGTGTTACTGAATCGATTCTTGGTGACATGTGCTGGCGATTTCTCCCGGGGATAAGACTCATTCAAAGACTTTAGCATGTCTTTCTTATTCAGCTTTCCGTCGCCATTCTTGTCGAGAAACAAGAATGCGTCAACTATCGTATCAAAAGTGGCCTTGAGCTCTGGTGAACCCACCTTTTCAATCTGCAAAAATTCCCAGATCAACAAATCCATTTATTAGAGCCAGATAATACAGCTAGGTGAACTCAAGAAATGAATAGAAATAAAACTGAGTTCATTGTGGTCACCATATCAGGAGACGAGGAGGGTATTACTAGGAGATAAATGAGACACAGGAGAACAATGAACTCATTGAATTGTATTCCTTCACTCCCATCAATGTCACAAAAATCGAATAGTTCATCAATCTCTTGCTCCTTTAGAGAGAGTTGCAATTTCTCTAAGCATTTTTTAAGTTCCTCACGATCAATAATCCCATTAGAGTCCTCATCTACAAATGAAATAGAGCAAGGCAGAGGGAGTCAATTTGCAATAAACATCCTGAAAATATCTCGAGAATACAAAAGCAAACTCATCAACGCACCATGGTGTTCAAATACACCTTTGATGTTTTTCAATCCGGCTTTGAACTGAGGGAACCTCAAAATTATGCTGTCAACCGATTTGAAATTGCTCTGTCCAGATGAACTTCTCTTAACCTCAATCATTTTCTTTTCAAGCTTTTCATCCAACCTATTGTACTTATTATCTGAACCACAATGGCATAGCATGCCTCTGAACTTGTTGGACAAGGACTTCAGAGAAGAGTAACATTGAGATGTGCCTTGCATATAGAAACACATAATCATATGTAGCCTCAAAAATCAATGAAGCTTAGAAATATTAACATGTCTAGTACCTTCAATGTTCCATCAGCAACACAATATGATGCACTTAGCAAATGTTTATTTGACTCAAGAAAAGAAATTAAAGCTTTGATAAGTTTATACCTATATAATCTCAGCAGAATAATTTGAACAATATGTTATCTAAATTGGTACTTATAATGATGTGAGGAAAATCAAGATCTCTAAGAGGTAGCAGAAATCGTTATGCCGCCATGGCACTTGTAGATTTTACCAGCCAGCACAATGAACATGATGCCGATGACTAATAGTAGCAGTTTCAGAAAAAGAGTGTCACAGTCCCGGTGATTGAGAATGAAAAATCTAGAGCAAACAGAAGTTGACACCAGGGCAGAGAAGAAAATTGCTCAGGATGTGCTAGTATGGCGAAAGTTCAACCAAAGATTAGCTGTTTGAAAAGAATTTAAACATTTTTTGATAAGCATTTTAAAGGTACTTCCCTTGTTTGCAAGTGATACTAAGGAGAAGAAAATGCCAATTAAATAATTCCTTTCTTAGGCAATTGCAATTTCTTTCAAGTACCAAACATAGTCCAAATACACAAACCTATGAAGAAAGAAATTACTTAATGATGATGACAAATCAAACCCATAACCCTTCCTCTTAACTTAGCAACTAATTGGTAAATAAATACTCTCATTAAAAAGAAAAAGTTTTTTACCAAAAGAGCAGCAATTATAAATAATCTCCTAGAATACATTTATCAGAGGCTAGTTTTGAAGAGTGGTAACAACATAAAACTAAAACTACCATAAATTTGAATAGTACTAGCAAGAAACTTGAAAACAGTTATGATACCCAAAACAAATAAAGCATCAGTTTACACATCTATTTGACAAAAATACATGCAGAAAGTCAAGGCAGGTGAGATTTAATAAGCATATGGTAAGAACCTTATTTAGCACAATAACAAATCCCAATATCTAAAACAACACACGGACAAAAACCAAACTCAGTAACTGATAGTGAAGTTTAACATATAACTATAAAAGTTAGAGCTGAGTTGAAGAGTTAACCATTTAACTAAAACAAAAGTGTTTATAGGCCAGTCTTAACATACAATCCTTTCATGCAAAAGAAAAAGAAACTTACCCATTAAATCTCTAATGGCAACTGGGTTTGCAATTGGGTTTGAAAGAGAAGGCAAGGTGGTTGTTTCAAGATAAAGATGAGAAATGGGAATATAGTCGGTAAAAAGTTAAGAGAAAAAGAGTAAAAAGAAAGCAAAATATGGCTCTTTCAAAGTGGAGATGCTATTATGGCCTTTGATAGGAAGCAAAGCAATCCCACCGAACATCCAAAGATTTTCTAGAATATTTATACAGTTGCCTACCGTATGTATTTTTATTTTTTATATATTTAACTACTATCCTTTGTAATAGATAACTTAAAAACAAATCAATATTATACTGAATAATTTTATTGTACAAACATATAAATAATTCCCTATGACTAAAATTAATTTATTATCAAAAAGAAAGAAACTAAAGAGAGAATTCAAGTACTTTGTAGCATTGCCCTAACAGTAAATAGATTTCCTTCCAGATAATTGGATCTTGTAATATAGTCAAGCTAGAATCTTAGTGTCATGATTATTAAAGAACAGTAGTGGGAGAAATGGTTTCAAAAGAGAGATTATTCAATTTTGATAATGAAGTGTAAAAGTTGAAGTTGCCAAATGAATCATTCCACCAACCCCAAAAGGCAAACTAGATTAATTTTGAATGAGGCAATTCCATGTCATAAAATAAAGGTAACCCCACATTCAAAGAGATCTGCTTCAGGAATATACAGACAGTTGATAAAAGGATGAGACATTTTAGATTAACTAGAAGATAAAAAGAACAAAAAGGAAACACCAAAAAAGGGTTCCATTTCTAGGGCAGAAATGGATTTTTTTTTTTTCTGATAGTCATCCAATACTAGGCATCATCCATTCTTGCCTCAAGTTGGCTTCCAATGGCAATGAATCTCCATTACCAAACAAAGGTCTTGATCTCTTCTTCATAGCAGCAGCCTGCGAGGTCAAACCCATTGGAGATAATGGGCTTCCACTTGAAGTCAAGCAGCTTTCGACAGAGCAGTCACCAATTCGAGCTGGTATAGTCGAAGCACTTTTGTTCTCCAAAGCTGCAGCAAGTTCAGATATGGAAGGCATTTTTATGGTATCCAATGGAACCATCCCTTGACAATCATTGGAAACCTTGATAGCTAGTTCAGAGAGCTCTTCCCTCGCTGCTTCCAACCCAACAGATACAACAGCCTGATCATTCAGAGCTTTACAAGCTTTCTCAAGTATTGTCTGTAGGTATTTGCCCTGTGCTTCAATTCGAAGCTGGAGACGACGCTGAACCTGGTTAGGAGAAAACCATAGATGTATTTAACAAAATTAGCATTTAACAAAAATCAAAAAGGAAAAAGCATGTTAAGATTGGGCATTTTGTCCAAATTTCATAGGGAAAAATGTTAAAGCCTCAAGAGGATTGAAAAATGTTAAAACTTTTTGTAAAATGACTTCTGCACTGACAGTCTCACACAAATATGAACAAGCTAGTGTAAAAATAACAAAGATTTTTTACAGAAATGCAAAGGCAGGAATATTGGACACTAACCTCCAACTGCTCATGTAGTCTTCGTTGGACTTCCATCTGTACTCGCAAAGCCTCAGTAACCTGGAAACCACTATTTAAAAGATGAAATGCAGCAATAATTGATAAGATAGAAAAATTGACAAGTTTTGAAAGTCATAAGCGAAGAGATAACCTACTCATTCAGGTCTTGCGCCACCATTCTTGTTGATGATGTTGTTGATGAACCAGTGTCCTGGCTTTCAGCAACACAAGACGCTGCAACTTCAACCACACATCATTACTAAATGAATAACTTAAGGTGCAAGTATCTGTCTTCTGAGTCATTAACCATTCCAACCATCCAATGTGGCATGGTCCAACATTCCTAGAAAGAAAAGATCCTTTTTTATCCTAACTATTAATCAGTCACAGAATACTGAAGAGGGGAAAAAATGAGAAGACATCATATGCCAGGAGACACAAAACTGCAAATGGAAACTCATATTATTACATATCTTAATCCCAAAAACTCAGGCCTGAAAGGCTAAAACCAACTGAATATGGTGACTTTTTAGAGCTTGACCTACAGATACAGCGGGCAATCTCCAGGGCGTTCTCTAGAGAAGTTTCTTCTACAGTCTTTTTGGATATGGTTAAAAAGTTTAGGGTTGTGCCCTTTCATTTTCCTATGAAAGTTTTTTGTAACATTATTGAACAAATAAACTCGATTTGCAATCTAAAGACCAAGTTTCATACCATCTTTAGAGTTCTCTGTTGATTCCTTGCATGACTGTTTTCCCAAGCGGTATTTCTGCAAGGACAGGGCATCAAGACAACAAATAAAATTTGAATACTCCTGAGCATATTATACCACATTACAACTCATTAACCATTAGAAAAATGGTAGCAATAACAACCTGAAGATGTGACTTCAAGTGATAAAGAGTGAGGCCCTTTACTCCCATTGTTCTCATGATAGTCTTAGGTGTTGCTTCTGTGATTCACATGTAGAAGAATCAGATAATCAAAGCCTATTAATTATTTTAAACTCTAGAGAAATGAAAAGTTATTTCACACAATGTGCCATTATTGGGTAAACAGAACTAGGCTCTTTTAAGAGAATTGCAACCTGCTACACTGGGTCCAAAGCAAAACCAGCCTTGTTTAAAATGAATTATATTAGCCCAAACAGTTATGATTAGCTGATCTGTAATAGATTGGAATCTTATGACTTAGAGTTAACAAAATTTTCAAAGAACCTCAAGATATACATTCATTTTTTTTTTTTTTTTTTAAATAAAATGAGGGGGACAATAATAAAAGGTCCCGAGAATAAACCCTGCTTTTCCTTGTGCACTTTCAAAAGCTGCTGCTTTGTGGATTTTAGCACTTTACAGTTGCCCCCCACCCACCAACTTGTCAACTTGGTAGTGCTTCAAACAATCTGGTGCATCATCTAAAACACATACTTTGGTGCAAAAATGCATATTAAACGGAGTCAAATCAACTTTTTTCTAGTTAAAGTGGGAAATATATAAACAGAAACAAAAAAGATAAAACATAAAAGCAAACAAACTATCCATAAAATAAGGACAAGCTGTCCTAATACCCTAGAAGAGTTCCAAAAGATTATACAAAACGTGCATCTCAATTCACTATCTGTAAGCAACAACAGCAATAACTTCTACTACCAAAACCCAAAAAATTATTTATTTAAAAGAAAAAGACCTTAGTCTTTCACCAACTGGAAACCCAGAATGAGGCAATTCCATGTCATAAAATAAAGGTAACCCACATTCAAAGAGATCTGCTTCAGGAATATACAGGCAGTTGATAAAGGATGAGACATTTTAGATTAACTAGGCGTCAACTATCGTATCAAAAGTGGCCTTGAGCTCTGGTGAACCCACCTTTTCAATCTGCAAAAATTCCCAGATCAACAAATCCATTTATTAGAGCCAGATAATACAGCTAGGTGAACTCAAGAAATGAATAGAAAAAAAACTGAGTTCATTGTGGTCACCATATCAGGAGACGAGGAGGGTATTACTAGGAGATAAATGAGACACAAGAGAACAATGAACTCATTGAATTGTATTCCTTCACTCCCATCAATGTCACAAAAATCGAATAGTTCATCAATCTCTTGCTCCTTTAGAGAGAGTTGCAATTTCTCTAAGCATTTTTTAAGTTCCTCACGATCAATAATCCCATTAGAGTCCTCATCTACAAATGAAATAGAGCAAGGCAGAGGGAGTCAATTTGCAATAAACATCCTGAAAATATCTCGAGAATACAAAAGCAAACTCATCAACGCACCATGGTGTTCAAATACACCTTTGATGTTTTTCAATCCGGCTTTGAACTGAGGGAACCTCAAAATTATGCTGTCAACCGATTTGAAATTGCTCTGTCCAGATGAACTTCTCTTAACCTCAATCATTTTCTTTTCAAGCTTTTCATCCAACCTATTGTACTTATTATCTGAACCACAATGGCATAGCATGCCTCTGAACTTGTTGGACAAGGACTTCAGAGAAGAGTAACATTGAGATGTGCCTTGCATATAGAAACACATAATCATATGTAGCCTCAAAAATCAATGAAGCTTAGAAATATTAACATGTCTAGTACCTTCAATGTTCCATCAGCAACACAATATGATGCACTTAGCAAATGTTTATTTGACTCAAGAAAAGAAATTAAAGCTTTGATAAGTTTATACCTATATAATCTCAGCAGAATAATTTGAACAATATGTTATCTAAATTGGTACTTATAATGATGTGAGGAAAATCAAGATCTCTAAGAGGTAGCAGAAATCGTTATGCCGCCATGGCACTTGTAGATTTTACCAGCCAGCACAATGAACATGATGCCGATGACTAATAGTAGCAGTTTCAGAAAAAGAGTGTCACAGTCCCGGTGATTGAGAATGAAAAATCTAGAGCAAACAGAAGTTGACACCAGGGCAGAGAAGAAAATTGCTCAGGATGTGCTAGTATGGCGAAAGTTCAACCAAAGATTAGCTGTTTGAAAAGAATTTAAACATTTTTTGATAAGCATTTTAAAGGTACTTCCCTTGTTTGCAAGTGATACTAAGGAGAAGAAAATGCCAATTAAATAATTCCTTTCTTAGGCAATTGCAATTTCTTTCAAGTACCAAACATAGTCCAAATACACAAACCTATGAAGAAAGAAATTACTTAATGATGATGACAAATCAAACCCATAACCCTTCCTCTTAACTTAGCAACTAATTGGTAAATAAATACTCTCATTAAAAAGAAAAAGTTTTTTACCAAAAGAGCAGCAATTATAAATAATCTCCTAGAATACATTTATCAGAGGCTAGTTTTGAAGAGTGGTAACAACATAAAACTAAAACTACCATAAATTTGAATAGTACTAGCAAGAAACTTGAAAACAGTTATGATACCCAAAACAAATAAAGCATCAGTTTACACATCTATTTGACAAAAATACATGCAGAAAGTCAAGGCAGGTGAGATTTAATAAGCATATGGTAAGAACCTTATTTAGCACAATAACAAATCCCAATATCTAAAACAACACACGGACAAAAACCAAACTCAGTAACTGATAGTGAAGTTTAACATATAACTATAAAAGTTAGAGCTGAGTTGAAGAGTTAACCATTTAACTAAAACAAAAGTGTTTATAGGCCAGTCTTAACATACAATCCTTTCATGCAAAAGAAAAAGAAACTTACCCATTAAATCTCTAATGGCAACTGGGTTTGCAATTGGGTTTGAAAGAGAAGGCAAGGTGGTTGTTTCAAGATAAAGATGAGAAATGGGAATATAGTCGGTAAAAAGTTAAGAGAAAAAGAGTAAAAAGAAAGCAAAATATGGCTCTTTCAAAGTGGAGATGCTATTATGGCCTTTGATAGGAAGCAAAGCAATCCCACCGAACATCCAAAGATTTTCTAGAATATTTATACAGTTGCCTACCGTATGTATTTTTATTTTTTATATATTTAACTACTATCCTTTGTAATAGATGACTTAAAAACAAATCAATATTTTACTGAATAATTTTATTGTACAAACATATAAATAATTCCCTATGACTAAAATTAATTTATTATCAAAAAGAAAGAAACTAAAGAGAGAATTCAAGTACTTTGTAGCATTGCCCTAACAGTAAATAGATTTCCTTCCAGATAATTGGATCTTGTAATATAGTCAAGCTAGAATCTTAGTGTCATGATTATTAAAGAACAGTAGTGGGAGAAATGGTTTCAAAAGAGAGATTATTCAATTTTGATAATGAAGTGTAAAAGTTGAAGTTGCCAAATGAATCATTCCACCAACCCCAAAAGGCAAACTAGATTAATTTTGAATGAGGCAATTCCATGTCATAAAATAAAGGTAACCCCACATTCAAAGAGATCTGCTTCAGGAATATACAGACCGTTGATAAAAGGATGAGACATTTTAGATTAACTAGAAGATAAAAAGAACAAAAAGGAAACATCAAAAAAGGGTTCCATTTCTAGGGCAGAAATGGTTTTTTTTTTTTTCTGATAGTCATCCAATACTAGGCATCATCCATTCTTGCCTCAAGTTGGCTTCCAATGGCAATGAATCTCCATTACCAAACAAAGGTCTTGATCTCTTCTTCATAGCAGCAGCCTGCGAGGTCAAACCCATTGGAGATAATGGGCTTCCACTTGAAGTCAAGCAGCTTTCGACAGAGCAGTCACCAATTCGAGCTGGTATAGTCGAAGCACTTTTGTTCTCCAAAGCTGCAGCAAGTTCAGATATGGAAGGCATTTTTATGGTATCCAATGGAACCATCCCTTGACAATCATTGGAAACCTTGATAGCTAGTTCAGAGAGCTCTTCCCTCGCTGCTTCCAACCCAACAGATACAACAGCCTGATCATTCAGAGCTTTACAAGCTTTCTCAAGTATTGTCTGTAGGTATTTGCCCTGTGCTTCAATTCGAAGCTGGAGACGACGCTGAACCTGGTTAGGAGAAAACCATAGATGTATTTAACAAAATTAGCATTTAACAAAAATCAAAAAGGAAAAAGCATGTTAAGATTGGGCATTTTGTCCAAATTTCATAGGGAAAAATGTTAAAGCCTCAAGAGGATTGAAAAATGTTAAAACTTTTTGTAAAATGACTTCTGCACTGACAGTCTCACACAAATATGAACAAGCTAGTGTAAAAATAACAAAGATTTTTTACAGAAATGCAAAGGCAGGAATATTGGACACTAACCTCCAACTGCTCATGTAGTCTTCGTTGGACTTCCATCTGTACTCGCAAAGCCTCAGTAACCTGGAAACCACTATTTAAAAGATGAAATGCAGCAATAATTGATAAGATAGAAAAATTGACAAGTTTTGAAAGTCATAAGCGAAGAGATAACCTACTCATTCAGGTCTTGCGCCACCATTCTTGTTGATGATGTTGTTGATGAACCAGTGTCCTGGCTTTCAGCAACACAAGACGCTGCAACTTCAACCACACATCATTACTAAATGAATAACTTAAGGTGCAAGTATCTGTCTTCTGAGTCATTAACCATTCCAACCATCCAATGTGGCATGGTCCAACATTCCTAGAAAGAAAAGATCCTTTTTTATCCTAACTATTAATCAGTCACAGAATACTGAAGAGGGGAAAAAATGAGAAGACATCATATGCCAGGAGACACAAAACTGCAAATGGAAACTCATATTATTACATATCTTAATCCCAAAAACTCAGGCCTGAAAGGCTAAAACCAACTGAATATGGTGACTTTTTAGAGCTTGACCTACAGATACAGCGGGCAATCTCCAGGGCGTTCTCTAGAGAAGTTTCTTCTACAGTCTTTTTGGATATGGTTAAAAAGTTTAGGGTTGTGCCCTTTCATTTTCCTATGAAAGTTTTTTGTAACATTATTGAACAAATAAACTCGATTTGCAATCTAAAGACCAAGTTTCATACCATCTTTAGAGTTCTCTGTTGATTCCTTGCATGACTGTTTTCCCAAGCGGTATTTCTGCAAGGACAGGGCATCAAGACAACAAATAAAATTTGAATACTCCTGAGCATATTATACCACATTACAACTCATTAACCATTAGAAAAATGGTAGCAATAACAACCTGAAGATGTGACTTCAAGTGATAAAGAGTGAGGCCCTTTACTCCCATTGTTCTCATGATAGTCTTAGGTGTTGCTTCTGTGATTCACATGTAGAAGAATCAGATAATCAAAGCCTATTAATTATTTTAAACTCTAGAGAAATGAAAAGTTATTTCACACAATGTGCCATTATTGGGTAAACAGAACTAGGCTCTTTTAAGAGAATTGCAACCTGCTACACTGGGTCCAAAGCAAAACCAGCCTTGTTTAAAATGAATTATATTAGCCCAAACAGTTATGATTAGCTAATCTATAATAGATTGGAATCTTATGATTTAGAGTTAGCAAAATTTTCAAAGAACCTCAAGATATGCATTCATTTTTTTTTTTTTTTTTTAAATAAAATGAGGGGGACAATAATAAAAGGTCCCGAGAATAAACCCTGCTTTTCCTTGTGCACTTTCAAAAGCTGCTGCATTTGTGGATTTTAGCACTTTACAGTTGCCCCCCACCCACCAACTTGTCAACTTGGTAGTGCTTCAAACAATCTGGTGCATCATCTAAAACACATACTTTGGTGCAAAAATGCATATTAAACGGAGTCAAATCAACTTTTTTCTAGTTAAAGTGGGAAATATATAAACAGAAACAAAAAAGATAAAACATAAAAGCAAACAAACTATCCATAAAATAAGGACAAGCTGTCCTAATACCCTAGAAGAGTTCCAAAAGATTATACAAAACGTGCATCTCAATTCACTATCTGTAAGCAACAACAGCAATAACTTCTACTACCAAAACCCAAAAAATTATTTATTTAAAAGAAAAAGACCTCAGTCTTTCACCAACTGGAAACCCACTACCACGTCACCTCACATTCTGAAGAGTAATGTTACTCAGTGAACACTTCTAATACTCAAACAAGTGTGACAGATGGTAGGGAATCGTGGGACAAGTGTTAAAATTCCCTACTGAGAAAGCTCAACTAACCATTTGACTTGAAAAACCAGCAACAGTTGTAAGCATTTATTAAATTTTCCATACCACAAGCCTCAACAACATACAGTTGAGCGATTCCCATCTCATAAAGTCAGCCTTGAACCACATATCCATAAGAATTATTGACTATTTATAGCTATTATTCCATTAACATTAAATATGCTTTGAATTAGCCTCCCTAAGTAATAAAATTTAAAAAGTCATGATATAACCAGTACAGTTAAAGAACTCCTTTTGAACTTGTGTCCTCATCCCCTTTGACAAGAACAGGATATGGAAGTAGAGTTATACTAAGTAAAATGAGCAACCACCAATTTTGGTCCTTAATCTGATGCGTCTCACAGAGATAGTAGTGGCATTGATGATAGTGTGGTAACAACAATAAAATGGTGATGGTGGCAGCAGCAGGTGGCAATAGTGCAGCAGGTACACATGCAGTGAAGACAGTTTTTACAGTGCAGTGGTGAATAAAATTACCAAACGCAACCGCAAGACGTTTCCAAGACTAAAATGCACCAAAAAAATTAATATAAAAATAAAATAAAGGGGATGGGGGTGGGGGTGGGGATGAGAGAAGAAAAGCTAGAGATGGATAATATGATAGTCGGAAATTAAAACTAAGTGGCTCCACACCAGGGAGTTTATAACCTACTCCATTTTCTTTGAGACATGACTTTCAGTAATTCCTATATTCAGGTTAACAAAATGACAATAGTCACAGAGATTGTCATAATTCTATCCACCACCTTCCCTGCTTATTTGCCGTTTCTTGGAGATTCTCATAGGCGCATTGGTGTCCTCAGTTTATCAGTTATGACTGGGACAAAAAGTTGAAAACTGGGAGTTCAATATTAGGCAAAACACATTACTAGTTTATCAAAAAAAAACAAAAATTAAAATTAAAATCCTCCACCATTGATAACTAACCTAATAAACTTCTTGTCTCCTTTAGGATGGTGACTCTCCAGCAAAGTGTTTGAAATTATCATCTAAAGCAACTGACCTTTTATTTAGACCATTTTACACATGTTTTATATAGCTGGTGGTCTTGTGTGCCGACAGAAACTTCATTAACAACTCTATGGCTACAAATTGAATTAAAAAAAAAAAAAAAAAGAAGGCTTAGGATTAACTAGTGAAATATAATAAATTCAGCAAAGATTGGTGTGCAGCTGAATCAAGGATGATTGTCCAATAAGGCCAAAACTTGCAGACACCTTTAGCTTAGCAACTATTAGAATTAGTATAACATATCATATTAGAACTTTGAGTGAAGAAGAGTCACTCAAAAACATAGCAACTGAAAGCTTTCATAGCTTGCATCACTTGCTATTTTATTGCAGGCACAAAGCTTGTAATTTAGCTCTGATTGAGATCTCCACACAACAGTTGAACAATATCTTTACTCAAACCCAATGTACGTAAGAATATTCTTCTCCAGACAAAGACAAGAAACCATACTCACTCTCCTTTGTCTGACAGCTAAACCATGCCACCAACATTATTGAACTAAAACACTCCAAAACCTTATTTGTTCTTTTGGCCGTATTTCATCCCTAGTCAAGTGCGACATAATTGAACGATGAATTCATAAGCCTTGAATAATTAAAGGGCACATAAATTAGCAGAAGAAGAAAAAATGCAAAGCCAAGGTCAATGAATAAGCCACTCAAAAATGAAACTTTATATAACCCAGAAAGAAATTTTTTCCACTTTTGCGGTTTCTTTCTTCAAAAGAAGAACCTTAAACATTAGTTGATGTGATATAAATCTTCTAAACATCTGACATTAATGAGGTCAACCACCTCAAGAGCCTGACCCATCATAATAATAATAACAATGAGAAACATCAATTATAACTGGTATGTACTAGTCCAAAATATCAGTAACTTTTTTTTTTTTTTTTTCACTAAATAAGTGAAAAGTGACCCTTCTTTATTTTTATTTTTTTTATTTTTAAAATCCATTTTGACAACCCAAAAGCCACAGAAAATCCATGGTTTTTCCAGACAAGTCTACAACATCCCACCAAAAACTATAAAAATAAAATAAAAATCAAAACTTTTTTTCCCACCAATAACTAAAACAACACCCAGAAAAAAAAAACACATAAAACCCAGAAATTAAAAAAAAAAAATCAAAACCACCTCAAGATTTCGATTTCCAAACACCAGTAAACACTGCTACCACTCAAAAATTCAAAAAAAAAAAATTCAAAATTTTGACATTTCAAGATTCTAAACAAGAGATAAAACAAACCCATATACACATTAACATGCATTTACATTCGCATATAAACTTACTGTCAGGGCCACCGAGTTGAGTGACAGCATCAACGAAGCGTTCATGGAGCTCAGCAGTCCACCGGAGGCGGGGCTTGGGATCTGTAGTTAAAACTAGGCAGGCATCACCGGGCAAGTTGGTTCCATCAAGCGGGCTTTGAAAGTCGGCGTGGCCACCAACGGTGCCGTCGAGCGGCAGCGAGTGAATCGCGGAGTACATTGAGGAGTAGGAATGTAGGATCCGAATGAGCGGCGGGTCGGGGCAGTCAGCCCCGAAAGAATTGGAGGGAGAGAGAGAGAAGGTGTTGGATTGGGTCCGGTTGAGTTAGAAAGAAAAAGAAAAGAAATAAAAGAAGAAGAAAAGGGCATGCAGAGAGGTTGAGACAGCGATGTGTTTTGTGAAATGTCTTTGTCTGTCTGCCTGTCTCTCTCTCTGTATTAGTTTTTTGTAGTCTGGTTGGCCGTTGGCACTTGGTTTTTTACTTTTTATATCAAACCGAAGAAAGGGTTGTCTTATACTATTACTTAAGTAACTTTAACGTAACAACATTTTTTTTTTTTTTTGTTTTTTACAGGACATTCGGTTTAATTTGTATACAATTCGAATAATTTTCAAAGTTTTAAAATTAAACTGAATAAATCTTTCAATCAATTGACAATTAAGATCCACCTAGTCTTTTAATAAATTGACATCCATTGTTTAATCTTTGGATTTGTTCTACTAGTAATTACTTTCTGCTTTTTATTATTAACTTAATTTTTACTATCATATTCTTTATAAAAAAAACTCCTTCAAAGACCCACTCTGTTTTCCTTTCCAAAAATAGAAACGAGGCTGTACTAAGTTCAAACTTTATGGAAAAGTTGACAAAATTTACTTATAAAAAAGAAGAAGGAAAGTGTTTTGAGTATAAAAAATAAATTTAGAAATTGAAATGGGAAGGGAAATGGGGATAAAGGGGCAAGCAGAGAATTGGATTGGGGGAGGTGCACAAAATGAACACTAGTAGTGGTCAGGGCATTGAAGAAGAATAAGTTGATGAAAAAGTAAGAGAGAAAAAGACAAGCAAGTTTACGACAAAAAAAAAAAAAGTGATACAAATATTACTAATTATAGTTGTTGACAAGACAACTTTTTTATTTTCATTGGAATTCTCATACCACATTACATTACATTGCATGATCACAACACCATATTATAACTTTATACTACTCACCCATTTCAACCTTTTTGCCTTAATTGCTCTTTACCCTCCAACCAGACGTATTGCTGATGTTGGATGAGCTCCTTTCGACCTTTTGGGACATTTTAGTCTTTTTTGGCCTTGTTTGGAATTGCTATACCTTTGCCAAACTTTTAGGAAATATTTAGTTTGGTTGATTCTTGCAAATATATACAAACCGTTCAAATAATAAAGTGTATAAATACGAATGTCAAATTTAAGAGAATTACTATTATCAACTATCTTACTCCTATTTGATTAATCACAAATTGTATTAAAAAAAAACTTAAATTAAATAAAATTAACAATTGAAATTAAAAAGAGATTTGAAAGAGAACAATAAAAAAAATCTTTGGGTTTAAACAAGATGATTAGACTTAGGACATAGATTTCACACCAATTTTTATTCATATGTATTGATCACTTATGCTAATTTTATTAAGCTCTTCTTAAAGGTTAAACTCCCTAAATTTCTAATAAATTTCTCTCGAACAATTATCGAATTAACTCTTAATTACTAACCCGAATTATCTCTAATCAGATTTAAGCAATTGAAGATCATTATACTTTATGGAGTTTACCAAAACCTCACAAGTCGCGGTAACTTAACTCTAGCATTCGCTCAACCTATGGTTTTACTACCGTAGACCAACTAAGTATCATCTCTGGATCTCAATCTAGTCCATTAGTTCATTCAATTCTTGGGTCCTTAAGAATCAAAAGCATTAAGCATAATAATAAAACTTATAAAAAAATCTTAATAAAAATCAACATAAATAAATTGACACATAATCAAGAGATTGGACTACATCTTAGCCCTAAAAAAATAAAGTCAGTTCATAATAAACATGAAAGAGATAATCATCTTTATTAAAATAATCAACATGAGTTTATAAGAAAGAAACAACAAGAACTTCGCTATATTGTGAACTAAAGCTCCAGAAATTCTGACACTTTTCTTCTCTACAGGTTTTTCTTCTCTTATTCTCCCCAAAGAATCCCCAAAATAATATTAAAAGACTTCTATTTATATCCCACAAGGGTTAGTGTTTTATTTTCCTTAATTCTATTTAATTTAGGACTCTTAACCCTATTTTCCTAATAAAAGATGGAAGAAAAATTTCTAACTGTCGTGACTGTGCCCCGGCACTGTGCTGCTGCGCGGTCGATTCTAGACAAAGTGTGTTGCGGCACAATGATAACTCTTCTTCTTTAGTCCAAATCCCGCATCATTCATCAGCACTCTAGAGATGATAATTTTTTAGCATGATAACGATGGAATCTGGAGAAGTGGTAAACATATGAAATGTATCACTTTTAATTAGCTTTCCAACAGTAAAAGAATCGTCTTAATCTGAGGTTTATATCTCGAGATATTGTCGAAAAACGTAAGCATGCTCAAACTGGAGCATAATTTAGAATCTCCTCTTTACTTCAAAGCTCCATAATTTCTTAAATTCATTTTCGATTCTCGATCTATTTGTTTCTACTTGTCACTCATTCCGTTGTCGATATGACTCTTCATTCGAGTATAATATTTAGCACTAATAACCTGAAAAACACTCAAACACACCCGTGATCCCATAAAAGATAATTATGAAAATATCAAGTAACTTTACCAAATTAAACATAATTTCTCACAAATAATCCCCATAAACCACTAAGTAAATGTGTATTTTCAAGCTTTTATCAATTAGCTTTGAAAATAATTCCGTAAAACATGATTTTGAAATAGCTTTGATTTGGTCAAATAGATTATGGCATGTATAATGACCAAAAAGGACATTTTACATCTTAAAATTATTTTGTAATTTTATTTTTTATTTTCATAAGCATTTAATAAATATTTAACAATGTATTAACTTAATTTATATTAAATAAACTATTGATAGATTAATAATTTTCTTTAAAAAAAATCAAAACAATTGATTGGTCAGTGTCCGTTATCAATTGTTAACCGTTGGTCAACGACTGATCAACCATTGTTGATGGCGGTCAACGTCGATAAATGGTGGCGCATTGGTGCCACTGTGGTCCCATCTGTTGGAATCCAATGGTTTCACCATATTACGATGATTCATTTGGTCGCAAAATGAAGCGAAATACTTGGCCACCATTTGCAACCAAATAGAATCTCAAAATCCTTTGGAACCACCATATACTTGTAGATCGGCTTCTCCTATTCCTAACTAGATCGTCAATGACGCATTGACCGCATGTCAACGGTGGTTGACTTGTTGTTGATTGACAATTGACCACCGTCGGTGGTTGCAACAACCATTACCGTTTCAATTTATAAATAAATTATTCAATTTTTTATTCAATAAATTAAATCCTTATTTAAGTTTATTTTGTAATTAAACAAATTTTATAAGGGTATACTTGTCTTTTTATATCACAAAATCAACTTATACATTAACTTGTTTCAAAAGAACAAAAGGGAGGTTTCAATAGGGGTGTTATCGAGCCGAGCCGAGCCGAGCCGAGTTTTTGGCTTAATGAGCTCGGCTCGTGAGAAAGGAAGACTAAACAAGCCGAGACCGAGCCGAGCCGAGCCAAAAATTATGTAACTCGGCTCGGCTCGGTAATGGATTTGGCATATTTCAAGTCGGCTCGCAAGCTGAGTTCAAGCCGGCTCGCGAGCCATCTCCAAATAATTTTTTTTTTTTTAATTCAATTTTTTTTACAAAAATTCGTTGGACAGCAGTCTGATTGTCTGAAATAAATGCACAGATCCAAACTCAATCACAACTGCTGCAAGAAATTAAGAACAAAACAAAACCTATCCTCAAAGGACTACTTGCTATACAACACAAAATTGCGTATTCTTCAGAATATATGAATTCTTTATGACTCTGCATCAAGAGAAGCGTATGCCAGCCTTGTTAAATAATGAAAGTAGATATAAAAACTCCTGTTGTGTGAGCTTAGATGCTCTCTTCTCTTCGAATTGTCCTTCCTTCAACACACCCACAACCTTATCTTTTAACTCAGAAACCTCACTTTCTGCATCGCCTTCATCATCACCATTCTCCAACTCCATTTCATCATCGCTTCCACCATCCATCTCCGTACTTTGATCCTCATTAGAATTTCCCAATTTCAATATATCCATTCTAATATCAATATTCTATATGGAAGTACTCTGTGAGGACCCTAGTGCCTGTAGGGTCTTGAAGTTTTTCTCAAGCAGAGAAAGGACATTTTTTAGCCTGCAAATTGAGCCAAGGGTTTTATTCTTTCGTATGAAACACATCCTTATAAATCCATCCCACTACTTCGGATTCAATTAGGGACGTGGTTTTCTAGGCTCAATTTGAACTACTGAAGAATCAACCTTAGGTGTTGGACGAAAATTACTCTTTCCGACTTTGAGGAGGTGGGAGACCGAGCATAGAGTTGGGTATTCACAGAAAGACGATAGTAGAGCTTGTCGCCAAGCTGAGCAACCAGTCTCATTGCAAATTCTTTCTGAAACATAATGACGACACATCTGAAGGCAGGTTGGTGAAATAGCAAATTGAACATGAGGGGAGAGGAGATCTGGTAAGGAATGTTTGCCACACATATGTCAAAATAGGGAAGATCAGTCTTCAGCACATCACCTTGAACGACTTGAGAACGTTATGAGCAGAACAAATAAATGAATTTTAGTTAAGCTTAAACACACATACAAACAACCCCAAACAAACGACCATAGCAGATGATGAAGATCTGACGAAGAAACCCCCTACTCACCGATTAAAGTCCGACGAAGATGATGATGAACCGATGAAGAAACTTCATATCTGACGAAGACGATTCAGATCCGACGAAGAAGATTCAGATCTGACGAAGCTCGTACAAAGAAGACGAAGTTCTAATGAAGATCCAACGATGATTAGACGATGATGACGAAGATCCAACGGTTGCCGAAAGTCTGACGAAGATGAACAATATCCCACGAAGATCCCATGAAGCTGACAAAGATAAACAAGACCTGGCCGAAAATCATTAC